TTTTTTTTTTTTTTTAAGGGGGGAAAATCATCGAATGACTGCTCCCGCCTGGGTGAGGCGGGAGGGAGTGTCAGACTCTTACTGACTAAAAACCACCCCGTTCCTTCTCCTGACCTTCGAGCCGGAGCCCCGGTTACCCGTTAGGTTCTCCGTGACAGGAGATTGGGGATATCACTTATATTTTTTAAATAGTTTATATATAACTTACTCATGCAGTCTCCTCCTGATCTCAGCAGTGGGAGACTCTCCAGGCGGCACCGAGGAGTACGGTGTCAGCTGGAGCTCGGGGGGTAACTGCGCGTGGAAGGACAGCTTCGCCACCCAGTCCTGAGGATTAACGAGGGTATTAGTTGTATGACGATCCACTGCTGTACTATAGACTTCTCTTACTTCTACATACGAGGATTTGCCACAATCGCCACGCTTGGTAAGCAGGTTGGAGATCATCAACAGCCTATAAGTGACCACTGCTGACCAAAGGTTTCTTCTGGCACGGCACGGACAAGGTTTGAGCATTAATCACCACGCTTGCTCAATGCGGGTTGGCGATTTCAAACTTATAATTAGAAATTTAAAGCCCAGGTTTCCTCACGATGTTTTCCTTCACTGTTTGTCAGTGGTGTCTAGATATTAGAAAGTACATACAACTCGGTAAAAGTCACATTGGAACGTGCCGTTGGTAGGTTTCGACCCGTACTCTCATGCATGAGAAACGAGCTTATTAAACCTCCTGACCACCACGACATTTCACAAATTGTCTTGTCACTTTGACTTTGACTTTGACTCAAACTCAAAAGCATTTATTTTAATTAATAAACCATAATTTGGTACTTTTGAAACGTCAACAAATACCAAATAAATAGTCTTTGAGTCTATCCGCCAGTGAAGCTAGCCACTCGTCCCAAAATATAGATTCGAGTGGAGAAGAACGGGCAAGAAACTGACGGACTAATCATATTTAAATTTTTCATACACTGGCAACTATCCTATTGTTATCGGAACAAAATCATTAAGGTGGATGGGTGATGATCTCAATTAACATTTTGTCGCTAGATGGGGCAATTCCACAATTTGGAACATTTTCAATATTTACGCCTAACTTACAAATCTTCAATAGATAACTATATTGTTCGCGAAACCTAGGACATTAACTTGATTTTTTCAGATAGTCACTATGTTGGTTAACTGGTATCATACAAAGATTACTACATAATTAAAAAAAAATGAAAATGCTTGAGCAACAGACAATGAACTACTGTTTATTTCAAAATGAGATAGATGGCGCTGTTAGTCTGTATTGTGATATTGTCGATACAAAATATAGATTAAAAATAACACTACAAAATAAAGATTTAGCCGCTCGACTTTACTCTTTACACACACATGCAAAGTAAATAGTAGTAACTTTCGACTTTCGAATCGTTTAAGTAATCATTAAATGCCTTGAATACCACATATATGTAACACCATTGAGTAAAATAATAAATAATATATTTACCTTCATAAGCTCCTTCGAGCTACAAGCGAACAGATACTCGGCTCCGTCAGCGCACGCCAGGCGGAACACGTTAGCGCGCTTTGTATAGTCACCGGCCGGTTCACAGCGCGCCTGGGGGATAATAAATATGTCATCATCATTCCATATATTTATTTAAAATTCTCCATAAATTACATTTCGAAATAGCACTTATCATAAAATAAAATAAAATAAAATAATATTTAAAAATATTGTCATCATCCTTACTTATGTAATATTATAAATCGGAGAGTGAGTCTGGTGAGACCAGACTTAGGAAATGACAGATGTCCTTCGTGTCAATGTATGGCATTCTGCGTGTAAGTGTATAGTAGCCAGGTGCCACAGTCGTTGTTTCAAGAGACTGTGTTATCCTTTTTTCAACGTGTTGTGTAAAATGTTCTACATGAACACTTTATATTGTAAAATAAAGATGATAACAAGCCAACTTTTCTCATAAGACACGCAAAAACTCATACCCATGTGAAACTTACACTACACTCAAATATTACTCAAAAATCCATGTAATAATAAATAACGTAACATTCAAAGAACACTCATTTCGTAACATAACATCACGCCTTTTATCCCCGAAGGTTCACATCCTGTCACTGTACAATGTAACACCCACTTTGTACTATTTCCCATGTAATAGGGGATGAACCTATTGCCATTTCGATTCATGTCAAAATCAAAGGTGCCATATACACATACTCAAACTCATACTGAACCTACACTCAAATAACACTCACATTAAGTATAGCGACAGGCGGCGCCGCGGCCTTGGCACTGGCGAAGTCTAGTTCGTCTCTGAAGAAGCACAGTAACTGTCCGCAGAGCACGGAGTAGTACGCGCGCCATGATCGCACCGTCGCACGCTTACCGCCGCGACCTGCCTCCTGCTTGCGCTCTAGGAAACCTGGGGAAGATTTACATATTATTAACATAACATCACGCCTTTTTACCCCCGAAAGGATAGGCAGAGGTGCACATTTCGGCACTTAATGTCACTGTACAATGTAACACCCACTTTTCACCATGTCCCGTGTAATAGGGGGTGAGCCTATTGTCATATACCGGGCACATTTCCAAACCCTGTGCTACTACTGAGATTTTTAAAAACCCAGTAATACTTTGCCCGACCGAATCGAACCCGAGACACCTTGCCCGGCAGTCGCACTTGCGACCATGCGGCCAACGAGGCAGGCTTATTATTAGTATTGAAAATGTGAGTATAATACATGATATAAAACAAATAAGTAGGTACTATAAAACTAAGACAGGGATTTCATGAAACATAAAAAAGGTTATATACAGGGTGGAATGTTATAATGCCACCTGAAGGGAAAGTACTCTTTATAGTAGTTTGAGTATTTGTGCGACCCACGCAAATGTTCTTTGGGTTGGTATTCTTCGTCGAATCAGTCAGCCTCACCTGTTAATTGAGCTGACTGTAAACCGACACATGCGTACTGCCTCCAGAACGGGTACGCTCAAACTGTTGTGGTTCTTTCCTCAAAAGGCCACTACAGAAAGAACTTGCACGGTTCTCACACATAATCTATTATACATATTTGTCTGGACTTTAAAAGAGACAGACCTCTGAGTTTGTTTCGGCATTTCTTCTCAGAGTAGTCAGTTAGGAAATGTCGACCTCATCGTTCGCTCGATAAAATTGACGTGTAAAAGTACTGCCTTGTAGCCTATTTGCAGAAATAAATTCACTTGTTTCACTAAAAAAATACCTTAGATAGAACATTTTACTCAAAGAAAACTTTCCTTTATTTTTGAAAAGAAATAAAACTGCATTTAAATAATTTTAAAAATTAGCCTGCCTCGTAATCGAGTCGACTAAAATCTGTAAAGTTTGCGCCCTGTAGGTACTTTTATTCCAATCAATATCTTGTATACTAGATGGCGCTGTGTCTAAATTATCCTTACTAATATTATAAATCGGAAAGTGAGGTTGTTTGTTCCACTTTCACGCCGTAACTACTAAACCGATTGCTTTGAATTTTTGCAGACGTAAAGTTAGAAGTCCGGATTAAATAATAGGGTACTTTTTATCCCGGAAAAAAAATATTTTCTCTATTGGTATAGATGGCGCTGTATGTATTGGTATATGTTACATAGGCTACTTTTTATCTTTTTGTGACGCGAGCGAAGCCGCGGGTAAAAGCTAGTAACAGAAATAAATGCTTTGACTTTGCTCAATCCTGAACTCCCATAGCTTTCATAGTTTACACACGGTCTTCTAGCGGTCCACGATCTATTACAAACATGACGCGAGAACTAACTATAGTCAGAATTTTAATTAGATTCCAGATTTGACAATAGCTACTGTCATGTGAAATAATGATACCACATATAATAGTGTAGTGATGAACACAAAAATCGATAAACAATCAGTGTGTGTGTTTTATAATAAATGTTACAGAAAGTGACAGGATAGCGATAGCGATGACGGCGACAATTTATAAAATAACTTGTTACCATAATACATCTATCTGTTTTATTTGCCATGTTCCTTCATGATTACATTTTTTTATTTATTTCACACACAATTATAAAAGAAAAGTCTCAGATCGTTAATTAATCGTCAAAACTAAATTATCGGTTCAGAAATATTTAATTTCCTGATATACTTAGTTTATTGAAGTAAAATTATAAACGAGAAGAATCGATCCAAAAATATTGCATTTCCATATCGAATAATTTCGCAACGTCACTATTTAGTACTTGTCATAACGTTGCAACACTGAAATTGTCAAATCTGTAATCGAATTAAAATTCCGAGTATAGTCTAAGCCTTTACCATTGGTCCACCAAGATACAGGCTGTGCCTAGTTTGTGGCCCACGGGCACCTCTGCCGTATTTGTATCTATGTGGATGCTGTTCGCTTCCATGTCTACATGTAATCTAACTTGTGTATGCCAATAAACAATTTTTATTTATTTATTTATTAAACTGTCAAATACCAAGCGGTCACCGGTGACCGCAACCTATTGTTCTATAATTGTGTCTACAAAACCGGTACTCGACGAGTTAAAAGTGTACTGATGGTCTACGTACCTTCAATCTCGACAGGTGGGAGTTCCTTCCCGTGCCGCCTGAAGCTCTGCGTGCGACGACGTGTGGTGAACGATGGAGTACGCTTCTGTGTTTTTACAACCTGGTGATTAAAACATATTCGTTTTAAAAATAAAGACATAACAGACAAAGAGAGACAGAGAAAGAGACAGAAGGAATTTGAAGAGGGAGGAGAAGATAACTATATTTTACCATATGTCAAAATTGGGTAGTTTCTTCGGTCAAAAATAAATTATTTTGATTTTTCAGTCCATTTAAATATTGAAAAATACACACTTTCATTCATTGATTTGACGATATACTTAATTTTCGATTTATTCTAGCATTTTTTTTTTATATAAGTGTGCTATTTGAAATATGATGACGTCATAAGATGGTATTTCGTACAAAATTCATAGAACATAGGCTACTTTTTATCATTTTGTGACGCGAGCGAAGCCGCGGGTAAAAGCTAGTACAAAATAAATAATAGTCTGTCAGTCAGTCCGTCAGTGAAGCTAGGTGAAGCTAGGTGCTCATTCCAAAATGTAGATTCGAGTGGAGAAGAACGAGCAAGAAACTCCATTCGTTACTCTTTTTAAAAAAGTATGTTCTACAATGTCTCTGATACATATTTCAATACTGTACGCATATGTGAGAACAATGCAAAGACACGCTTGACGCATTATACTAATTACAAAACTTACTAAAATAAAACTTGTAGTCTCCTGTACGTACATAAAACAATAAAATAACAAGTAAAGCTACTTACGCTCATACTTTCAGCGCGTTTTACGTGTTGTTCATTCTTGGGCAGTCTGTCGAACTGTGGCGCCGGGGACAATGTCTCCTCCGACGACGCAGGGGCCACCGACGACGTGTGGAGACGTTCCGCCTAAGAAACGGAAATAAAGAAAAATTAAATCACTTATTTCTGGATTACTTCTAGTGAATTATGAGTTCGATAGGCCACATTTTAGACTCCGTGTTATTTACTAACATAACA